TTAGAGGCTGTTCCCAGGGAGCGACTGGTGGAAACACAGCAGGCTGGAAAGGACTTAGCTAGCGCTGTGGTGATCTGTGAATTGTGGTGGCATTTTACTGACGAGTAGTGTGTATAAGTGGTCAATAAATCCAATATCCAGTCAAAAACTCCTCCTGAGCAGCCGCTATACGTGACAATACGTATGTATAGGGCAGATGCTGAAACAGTTTTGTAAATATTTTTTAGACTCATGTAATATTATCTACTGATTCACATTCTTGAAACACACACGTGTTAAATATTGATACACTCTTTTAATTTTATATTTACCCCCCATCTGATTTAAGATGACTCGATACTGGATTGTATTCATTCGACTCTATAGCCAAATTATTTCCTCAGATAAGCCGCTTATTCGTTACTTGCCTTTGTGACATTCAGTTCTTCCGATGTTTAGTTGAGCAAAGAAAGTATCTGGTATGGGCGGAGAAGTTAGAACAGCGTAAAAGTCTGCGCCGGTCACGGTAGCCGAGCGGTCTAAGGCATGAACTGTTTTCGCTAGCTCGGAAGCCGGGATCGTTGGTTCGAATCCCACTCAAGGCATGGATGTTTGGTGTGTGTATGCGTTTATTCTGTGTTTGCGTTGTCCTATGTTTAGGTAGCCTGTGTTCAGGTAGAGGTCTTGCGATGAGCTGATCACCCGCCCAATGTGTCCTACCGTCTCTCTAAAATTGATCATGAAACTGAGAACTCAGCCCTATGCTCTAAAGTTTGAGCAAGAGGAGAGAGAGAAGGTCTGCAAAAATTCCATACAGCGCACTGAAAGTGAAGGGGTGTGCTTGATGTAAAACCGTATGAAACATGAACGTAAATAAAGGGGGCGACTGCATTACACTTTGCTTGCACAAACGTACACTGACGGGAAGCGTGAATTGTGAACGATCATACGGCATTATACAAAAGCAGTGGCGTATACATGTCTGTAGAGTCACAGTTGGTTTCTGGGCTTTAAACAAAGCCAAATATATCGGAAGGAATTTTAAATAATATAGAACGGTAGGGCATGTACTGTCTTCGCTCGCTTGGAAACCGGGATCGTGGGTTCGAATCCCACTCAGGGCATGGATGTTTAGTTTCTGTGTGTGCGTTTTTCTGTGTTTGCCTACAGGCAGAGGCCTTGCGACGAGCTGATCACCCGCCCAAGGAGTCCTACCAAATGTGTAAGATCTAGAAAAACCGAAGTGAACGGAGAAGTTCATGGAGGTAGGCCTAGGTCCTCTGGGGCTGTAGTGCCAAGGGAAAAAAAAGAACGATAGAATTAATTAGAATAAACAAGTCAAGGAGGATGAGATGGGCGGGGAATATAGCATGAGTGGGTAAAAGTGGAATGCATATAGGATATTTGTGAGAAAGCCAGAAGGAAATGGGAAGACCAAGACGTAGGCTGGTGGACAATATTAAAATGAATCTTACAGATACAGGATGGGATAATATGGACTGGATCGATCTGACTCAGGACAGGGACCAGTGGGGGGGGGGGCTGTTGTGAACACGGTAATGAAACTTGGTGTTCCATAAAATCCTGGGAAGTTCTTGAACAGAACTGAATGTGACAGGCGTGTCATTGGGCCTTATGGTTCCACAGAAGTTGGGGGGTCCCTGATTATCTACGCGACTCTTAGTTTCTCGAGTAGAACTCTGCCTATTGCAGTCGGTAAGTAGCAAATTTGAAGGGGATTCTCAAGCACTATTAAGAACCATTGTGGAGTGTTGCTTCCGAGTTTAGAGCCAGGGAAAAAAAAAGGAATCCGTGATTTCAGTCCGCAAACGAATTATACCGACCGAGTGACCGCTGCTTGTCGGCGAAGTTTAGTGCCAACTATAGCAGACAGAGGGTGTTACGTGGTCAGTGTAACGAATCCCCACGGCCGTTAATCTCGGTTTTCTAGACCGGAGCCGCTATTTCCTTGAAATAGCTCCTCAATTATCATCAGGAGGCTGAGTGGACCCCGTTCCAGACCCACTACTTCTCAGAAATATGTAGTAGCTCCGGAAATCGAACCCGGACCTTTGGATCTGTAGCCAGGAACGCTGACCACTAGACCACAGGCAGTTATTAATTTGCAAAAATGAAAATATATAGTCTCTAATAAATTCTCTTAACATTCAAGTCATGTGGCTTAGGGTCTATGGGTATGAGGATTAGCCTATGCGAGTGATATGTAATATAGTTCATGAATGTAGAGAATGAATAATCCTATTTCGTCGTCTACTACTATTCTGTACAGAAAGCTGTAACTCTTCTCATACAAAAAAAGCAATTATTCCATAATCAATTCCATTTGTCACTTACGACGTTATCTTTTGTTGTTTCCTTTAACTGTCCATTGAAAATTACACTTCTTTACTTTGAACAATTTTTAATTTAAATCTATGCCATCGCTACCTCCGAAGCCTCATAAAATGTTAATCTGGTTATGTCGGTTGGATTACATTTCTCTGAACAGAAAGTTCGGGTAGCGAGTTGAAAGAATGATCGAATAGTCGATGGTGTATATAAACCCAAGTTTCGATTCCACTAATTAGAATTCGTCATTTTGCCGTCATCCACAAGGTTTTATATCACAAAATAACCATCATTAAGAGGGGATATATTCTGTCTTCCAATTTACGCTCTTGTTAATCTGCAGAGGCCTATACCATGACTCACACTGACACTAAGGGATTCTAATGACGAATAAAGCGATGAGCTGTAGCTCACCATTCGTTAAGGACAGAACATAACGCTTTATAATATGGCGAGGGATGAGCAACTGTCTGTAACATCTCAAGGAATTGGAAGGCTCTACGAACCTCAAGTCCAGGGCAAGTGGAATAACACATATTCACTATAATTTAGGCCTAACACCGAGGGCGTCTGTAGCATTCCTGCATTATATTCGGGAGTTCCGGGGTTCAGGTTTCGGCTAAGAGACCGGTTGTCTTGTATCAGGTTTTTAAGATGTGGGAGCCTCGACATCTCCCAACCTTATGGGCCTTCACGACCTGTTACAGGGATAGCTTTACCTTCTTTATTTAGACATAGTTGTCCTTCTGACGAACTTTTCAATTAATTTTGCAATTCAGTCAGATGTCGCTTTCATCGATGTTTATTTCAATGACCATTCTGTAAGATGTGTGACTTAAATTCTTAGTTATTAACTCCAAATTAGTAATAAGATTTTAAAAATAAGTGCATTATAATGGCACGGGAAACGTATAAATTGTTACTATTTCTTAGATAAATCATTATTAACTTTAGCGAACAAAATCAGCGTGACTCTCGGCTGGACAATCATTCTCTTCATCCCTTCGTCCACAGTGGCTCTTTGCCCCAAGTGTCCTCTTATTTAATGAGTAACACAGTCTCTCTGACAGGACAAAAGACCGCCGAAACATGAAGATTCCCATTCTCCTCTGTCTAGCACCAAGATTAGATATAGTGGAGCTTTACATCCACTCCCCCCGTACACCTTCATACTGCAGTGTGTGGAGAGAGAAATACGTTCGTACAGTAATTTATAGTAACATTAAGAGCAGTCATAAATATTTTAGACTGTAATTCGCTTTCCATTCAATACTACGCAGTTAAGCACGAGGTTCAGACGCCGTCAAAATTGATAATGCCACTTAAGAAGTTTAATTACTAGGCAGCGAACAAGTACGATAAAAATGTTATCTCCTGAAATGACGTATGAAAATAACAGTTCCAAGGTGTGCCAGAAAACATGGCCGCTCAGCTCCGAATCCACACTGTGGTCTCACTGCCATTAGTTGAAACAACCGTCTTGATCTGTCAGTCAGGAAGAAATCGCTGTATCCAATCGAAAAATGCGCAATGCTACGGTCACGGGTTCAAATATACTGCTTCAAGAGAATGTAAACTGAAATAAACGATCAATACATCAGTTCCAAGTCTAGAATGCGTACTAAAGAACTGTAAGTTAGTCGTACAGGTAAAATGTTTCGTGACTGTGTGTATGTAAATTATTTAACTAGGTCAGTTACTTAATAACCGAGATATTACTAACCGACTTAAGAACTGGGTCGATGAAGAAATAGTAATTTAACACAAATTTCACAAAATAATTTGGCTTATTTTATTAAAATAAGGNGGAAACCGAAGTACGCGGAGAAACCTGCCCCAGCGTCACTTTGTCCACCACAAATCCCCTTGACTAGACCCGGGAT